ACACGACGCCGAATGTCCCGCATCGGAAGACCTCGTGGAAGATTTGCTCGCCGCGAATGGTCCAGCCTGCGCGACGTTCCTCTGCGTCTCTCTGCAAACAGACTTTCCTCCGGGTAAATGTTGTTGCTGCTCTTTACCTGCGAGATACTCGTGATTCAGGCCGACGTGCTTTTTCGCGAGCTTGATCGACTCCCTCGGGCCAGAGTCGGCGTTCAAACTGCTCAGACTAGTGGAACAAAGTACCCTTTGCGATTTCGTGGCACTGGCTGTCGCGCAACTAGAAGACTTCGCGAAGCTCGCGGAATTAGAGTTCGACGCGCACTTGTGAGCGGGCAGGCTGGACGCGACGCTGGTCGTCTTGGCCAGCAGACCCGTGTGATTTCTTCCGTGGCTAGACGACTCCTTGGCCGAGTATTTGGAGCAGCAGTTCTTTGCGACCGAGCAGCCGGTCGACTCGGTCCTGCTAGGTCTATTCACCTCGACGAACGCGATGGACGCTTGGGAAAAGTTAGGCGAGGAACTAGACGCTTGCGAACCACCGTACAGGTCCACGCTTACCACGATGTTCGAATCTTTACAGGCTCTCCGATTCTTGTTCTCGTCCACGGAAGTTGCTTCCGGAACCAGCGAACTGGTGCAGTCCTTCGTAGACCTCCGAGGCTTTTTGTCCTCTGTCACGACACACTCGCAGGATGCGCAGGTTTCCTTGCTTCTTCTCACCTTCGATTTGTCATCGACGAGGCAAGCTACCTCGGGGGCTACGCACACGTGGCAATTCTCCTTCAACCTCCACGACTTGCTCTTCTCCTCCGTGATGATGGAGTACTCGTTCAGAGGACACGATCCATCCTTCGCTCTCTTCGGCTTGCACTTGTCCTCGGTGCTACAAGGTGGCTCGAAGATGACGGAAGAGTTACAGTTCTCCTTCGATCTCCAAAGCTTCTGCTTGTCCTCTATACCCGTAGAGGGTGCTTCGGAGACCACGGGCGCGCAGTTGTCCTTGGGCCTCCATGGCTTGGACTTATCCTCGGTGAGGATGGCTGGCGTCTCGTCGACCGAGAAACACGGCAAACAGGCGGTCCCTGCCGGCCTGACGCAGGACTTGGCGGACGACCCATCGCTCGCTGGTGGTCCTGGTGTGTTCGACGGTGGCACCTTGCCGAACATTTTCCCCGTTATTGTGAGAAGATTGAGCAGCTTGAATCGGGACGGGAGGTCGTCGCCTCTGCGCGCTGCATTACACGGATTATCAGTCTTGTCGCTGGACGTGACGGCGTCTCTCGTTCGCCGTTCAAACGAACGAGGTCGTCGATGCTCGATCGGGAAGACTCTCGAGGCGACGAGCTACGTCCTTGAGGCGGTAGCCCGGCATCTCAGGATCGCGTTTACTTCGGAATCAGGAGGTGTCTTACGCTCGTTCGATTGGCAGTGGGATCACGCGTTCCGCGGAATCACGGCTGGCTAGGACATGGTCCTAGCAGGGGACGCAGTGCGGCAAGCGGTCAACGTCGAGCAACTCGTGAAGCACATGGAACATCCGCAAAGGCGAAACTTGGCACATCTCTCTCCTCTTCGAGCGCCCTCGAAACACGGCAGGAGACTTTGACTTTCCTGCAAGAAATCTGCACCACACGGAATCCGTCAATAATTACCATTTGCGTTTCCCTCTCCATTTCTTCTATCTATTCGCTCCTTTATTTACGATTCCAGCGATATTTACGATATCGATAAAGCCAGACCACTCGCGATATGCTTCGAAATACTAGAACGATCGCGCGCTTCGATCTAATTTTTTCTATTTTCCCCGTTTATTTTTTTACAACTGAAACAATTTTGCCACGACAAATTAAATTCACTGACATTAAAAATAATTAATACATGTGTTATTTTTGTAGACAAATACACCAAGACTAACTTCAATTATAATAATCCAGAAGATATTAAAGACGATAAACTTTTCGAAAAACCAATGTTACCACTATATATGGCTATGATAATTAATTTTCTTCGAATATGATAAACTTCCAATTTCTTTTGTTAATTTATGAGAATCTTGCTATTTTTTTTTTAGAAAACAACAGTTTATTACGAGTCGTTATTAACGCGTGTCGATGTAATTCCAAATCGTAGCACGATCTGGTTTACTTATTTATTTATGACTTACGTTTATCGACGATAAAATGATATTCGCGGTTATTATATAAATTTCGAATGTCACGACTGCGTATTTACTACGACTCGAACGTTTAAACAGTTTCAGTTGCAAAAACCTAATTATAATAAACGTAGGAAGAGGCAAAGAGCGGCCTATCGGATTAACCCCTCCGGTACAACATGCACCGCACTGACCTAACTCAACCCGAAAGGAAACCTACATACATACTTTCATATGCGACAAATGTGGCACGATATTTGCAGAAATATCTTATTCGACGGAATTATCAGATGGTCGATGGTGGGGGGTGGACAATGCGCGAAAGACTAGAAATTTTGGCGGTACGCATGCAGCGTGCACCGCAGTGGATATGCCAAGATCTCCGGGCCGGGAATGCGGGCAGATTTGTTAAATAACGCGGATACATGTGTGCAGGTTGGCTGAGCATACGCGGTGATACATCGCACAACGCGCACGGCGATTTGATTTACAAAGCAGCGCTACTTCTTCTTCCACCAGTTGCAGCAGATGACGTTTTCACACGCGAGAAACGTAATTTATGATAAAAGTACGCGGCGCAATTCCGAGAGGCCAGGTATGTTTAATTGGTAACACGGCGCTGCAGACACGGTTTTACGGAGCAAAAAGTATTATTTTCTGCCGAACGTCCGAGCGAAAGATCTTGTTCCAGTTTTAAAAACGCAACGTTATCGGCCGCGCGACGCGAACGCACGCCGTAAACTTTTATTGCGAAATCGACGACGGAGCGGCAGATGGAAAGAGAGATTAATTTCACGGAGAAACATAAGTTTCTTTAATCGACCATAACGCTTGAGCAAGAATTGAAAATTCACAGGACCGAATGGCGGAAAATAGCACCGAGTTCGTATGTCCTTGCTGTGTATTTCGATTCGAGAATGTATGGCATCCGCCGTTCCGCGATTCGATGGTCCTTATATCGAATGGAAGGAAAACACGAATACGATAGAAAGTTCGATGCACCGTGTTCCGAACGCATGGGAAAACGTTAATCGTAGCAACATACCTGCGCAAATGGAAACGACGTGCCCGCTGTTTTCCTTGTTTTATGCTTCGCGAAGATATTATGCCCTTCGTGTCAGAAATTCTGGGACGAGTCCTTGAAGAAGATACGAGAACGCAAGCGATAACCGGGAAAAGCGCGCTCCGCGTTGCTGTCAGTGACAACACACTCGAGATACATTCGATCGCGAAAGTGGCGTGAATCTCACTGGGCCTGTTGGCAGCGTAGCGTTAGGTTGATTTTAGAAGACCTTGAACCACGTGAGGGAATTCGGGCTCGCGAAGAACAAGACGTCAAATACTGTCGACAAACACGGACGAGACAGGAGGCATGACCGAACGGCATCCACACGCTGTCACTTTTGTTTACTGTTCGAGGACGAACCTTCGCTCGACGAAACCGTGCGACTCCGACACGACGCGACGTTGATCGACGATATTCGATCGCATATCGTGCGATCGCGATCAGTGATCCTTCCTGTTACTAGCACGATTTTTTTAATCTACCACTCTGAATGGTCGGTGGGTCGAGTAAACAGTGGGACACCAGCGCACATCCGATTTGAATTTTCTCGACAGACCGTCCGTCTTGCAGTCACAACTATGCACCACCATACACACCATGCACGAGCCAACACCACACCTCTCGTCACATGGAATGCCGCGCACTAAATTTTCGTAAACGATAACGCTGTGCAATTTTTTCTTCGCGAGATTGCAAAAGAGACCGATTCACCGACAACGCCAGACAGCGGCCATTACAGAAATGAACTGCTCCGCCGCACGCCGTCTATCGGCGATACTCGACGTTCCCCGCTTACCCCCACTACCTTTCTGCTGCTAATGAATCGAATGCAAAGACGGCACGGCACGTCTTTCGAATGTGCGCCTTCTAAACGCGGAATTTTTTTTCGCTTCTTGCGAATACTTAAATTCAAACAAAACACGCGAGGTGTGGATAGAATAACAAGCGTAAAAGATTCATCGTATAAACAAAGGCGCTGTCACGAACATACGAATATTTCCTTTCTTTGCCGAACAATAGTCAAGTATTACTGTAATATTTCTGCATCGTTGAGGAAGAAAGACAATTTTCATTATGCTAGCAAAAATTACTACTCTTCCTTAAATAAACTATCCTATGAATAACCTTTTACTTCATTTCGCATTAAAGAAGTTGTATTATTATTATTATGAAAGTAATACTATGAGAATAAGAATAGAGAAATTGTATCACTTGTTCAATGAAAATGTACGAAACTGCGATTTCACGCCACGAAATAATTTATGGGAATTTCCATTCCGACCTTACTACCACGATCTCGTCTCTATGAAGCTAAACAACTAGTTTTTGCGAGGCGGAATGAAAGTGTGAGACTTCTCATATGCATACAAGCACACCTTTCACTGTCTTTCAACAATTTTCAGTTTCTCATACAGGTACTTAAATTTCTACATACCATTCTATCCGTGCCAACGACGCACCACATTTGACTTAATTTAGAATTTATAGGACTTAAAACCGTTAAATTCTCGTTAATTTTCATTTTAAATTTTACGTGTAACTTCTTCGAATTTTGCTTCTTTAATGATTCGATGTAACAATTTTTCTATGACTTATATATTTCTTTTGGTTCCTTAATAAACGAAGAATGTTAAAAGATAATTGTCATATTAAAAAATTGTACAATTCGTAACTCTTCAAAAACAAATTAAATAGAAACGATTTTTTGTATACCCTGCATTTTATATACTCTGTGTGTTCTTATGTTTATCGGACTGATTCTTAACCTATCTTTTGGTTATAAGCATAGTTACGCACACGTGATATTTTAAAGTATACTTTGTTTATTTAATACTGCATTTATCGTTATTGTTATAGATATTAAGAATTAGAATAAAAGTTAAAAGAGATGGCGAAATTTTGTTTAAGTAAGTTCAACGATGAAAAAATCATTTCAATATAATTTATTTCTAATACGTATAGGAGGTTATGTTCATTTTAAATTGTTCTTATACATAAAATTTTCATTACAATTACCTTTTTAATTTTATTTGATGCTTATTTATTGCAGAAAAGCAAAGCAAACGCATGCCAGCTCGTAAAAGATATAAAATCGAAAAAAAAGTACGGGAGCATAACCGGAAATTACGGAAAGAAGCAAAAAAACATCATAAGAGTAAACAATGCATTATATATTTGTAAAGTTATTTACATTTAATGATGATTCTAAAACATGTTACTTATATTTTCTTATTTCTTAGACAAGCCAAAAATAATTGAAGTACCAAACCAATGTCCTTTTAAGAAGGATATTCTTAAAGAAGTGGAAAATATGAAAAGGGAGCATGAAGAAGCAAAACAAAAACTACGTCAAAAAAGAAGGGAAGAACTCGCCAAGACAGGCCTTAAAGGATTAGTTTCTAGTGCAGAGTCTAAAGGAGCACAACATGAAGCATCTACTTCGATGGAAGTAGATACTATGCATGAAAAGATAAAAGAGGCTGTAACTAAACAGGAAAATTCATTAAAGGCTTATTACAAAGAGTTCAAAAAGGTTTTAAATGCGGCTGATGTTATTCTTGAAGTTGTTGATGCGAGAGATCCTTTGGGAACTAGATGTGAACAGGTATGATCAAATATGTTATATATATATATATATCAACAATATATCAAATATACTTGTATAAATTACAGGTTGAAGAAGCAGTAATGTCTGCAAAAGAAAGTAAAAGATTGGTTATTGTTTTAAATAAAGCAGATTTAGTACCCAGAGAGAATTTAGATCAGTGGTTGAAATATTTGCGTACAAGTTTTCCAGCTGTGGCATTTAAAGCCTCTACTCAAATTCAAGCTAAAAGATTAGGTAGAAGAAAATTGGGGAAGAAAACTCAAAGTATGATACAAGGTGGTACCTGTTTTGGTGCTGAGTTACTATTGTCGTTACTTGCAAATTATTGTAGAAGTGTTGGAAATGTTAAAACTAGTATTAGGGTTGGAGTTGTTGGACTCCCAAATGTTGGCAAATCTAGCGTTATTAATTCCTTAAAACGCAGTAGAGCATGTAATGTGGGAAGTACACCAGGTATTTCATATAATACCATTTTGTTATAGATGTTCTTACTTTTTTCAGTATTATATAATTTTTATTTTTAGGAATGACAAAAAGTATGCAAATGGTACAATTAGATTCTAAAATAAAATTGTTAGATTCCCCAGGAATAGTTTTTGCCAAGTCTGTAGAAAACTCTGATGAATCTTCAATAGCTTTAAAAAATGCAGTGAAAATACAATCTTTAAGAGACCCTTTTACACCAGCAAGCATTATTTTAAAAAGAGTTCCCAAACCACAAATCATGGAAATGTACAATGTACCAGAATATTCAACACCTGATGAATTTTTTGCTTTAAAAGCTATCAGTATGGGGAAATTTAAAAAAGGCGGTATACCTGATACGCTAGCTGCAGCTCGTAGTATCGTGACAGACTGGAATTCCGGAAAAATTAGGTATTTACATAACACTATATTTTCTAGTTTATCAGATACATAAGACTGTACGACATTTTTGTAGGTATTATACTGTTCCTCCTGAACAACCGAATTGTCACATATCTGCAGAAATCGTAAGCCAATTGAGTAAAGAATTCGATATCGAAAGTTTCGCTACAGAGGAAAAAATGATGCTTGATAATTTCGAAGAAGAATTGACAAAACAAACGTCTGATCCATTATTAATTACAAGCAGTGGTCCAGTCGTTGCTAGTATGGAGATTGAGATGCAGAAACAAGAAGTTAGTCAATTTATATATATATGTGTATAAAAGATTTTATTTTAATATCTTAATCATGTTATAATCAAATAATCTTTGCAGCAAATTAAAATACAAAACAAATTAAAAAAACGAATGGAAAAGATGAAAAAAAATGCGAATGAAACAAGGAAAAAGAAAACAGATCCAATTTTTGAAATCAAGGGCAATCAAAAATTAAATAAGATTAATAAATTACAGTTTAAAAAAGAGAAGAAAGATCGAGCTAGAAGAGGTAAGAATATTTCCCCTTTGTCTTTTATTTTAGAACATCCTTTTTAAACATTTTCTTGCTTCATAAATTGAATTTTATAGAAAAAGCGGCTAACAAATTGGCAGGACAACTGGAAGGATTTACCATCTCTAAATCCGATGATTATGACTTTAATACAGACTTCGTAGGAAAATAAAAACTATAAACATATATATTTAAAATTTAAATGTCAAATGTAAATAATAAATGTCATATAATAATAAAAAGTACAGTTTTTATTAAATTTAATTTTATTAAGCTTTATTTTTTAATACGTCAAAGTAGAATATACATGTACGTGATTAATAAACTAATTAATTAACAATGCATTAGTTTGTGAAGGTTCTAAATGTTATACATTTATGTTAAACTTAAAATGAAAATTTAAAAATACAGTCAATATTAATGAAATATCAAAACTGTAATACGTTTCTTCACGTACGCACTTTCTTTTAACTCTGTTGATTTCGACGAACGCGTACAATATAGATAATAATGTACGTACATTTCATGACAAGCAACTATGACGAGGATAATTTGCCAGTTTCTTCTTTGGATGTAAGTTACATCTATGAAATAGCGACTAACAAATACCTAGAGATGATTTCTAAAATGATCTTTAATGTAAACAAGCGTATTTACTGATCCAAATTAATTGTACATATTTAATTTCTTATTCCAATTTATCGCAAAACATGCATAAACATGTACTTCAAATTACTTATTCTAACTTATCGTGTAATACTGAATGATATTATAAAAAAATCTGGAAGTATTATGCCTCCACATTATAATATGATACTGAATTGTAGGCGTATAGTGAAACGTTTTCAGGGGAACAATAATTAGTGAGTTTGATAACAATTACCTACTTTTACGATTCATCTGTTATTCAGCTGAAGACCTCCACTAAGATGACATGAACAAATAGTTTTTAATAGTTATCTTTGGACGAATTTTGCTTTTGTAATTGGCTATTCGTCCATTATAACTTTTCCTCGTTTATCATACTTTCCCTTAAAATAAACGCAATGGGTGAGAACAAGTGTGAGCCGCTAATTTCAGCTTCGATAAAAACCACCTGGCCTACCGAAAGTATGGAAAGTTGTTGAAATTAAAGAAAAAGATGCGGTAGCTCCGATAAGATATAGCATTCAAGAGATGCCGGAAGACAGGTACGAATAAGTGGCTGAAACATCTGCAAGTATTTTATTTCCGTTGAGCCCATGTCCAAAAACCTCAGTAAGTTCTTTTTTCTTTCGTTTCTTTCATACATATTATTTTAACGTTAATGTTGACCAAAGGCAAAAGATGTGTGGTAATACGATGAGCATACGACCGCAGATATGTTCTCACGTAATACTGCAATTCGTGAACGTGACGCGGTAAAAAAAAAGTATTGTAATTATTTTTTCTGTTTTACAATTGTCAGTCTACAAAATTTGTTGAAAATTATAAGTGTTTCATAAAAGAAAAAATACTATCACAAAAAATACGAGAAACATGGAAATCATAAATAAATATTTATTGTTGTTTGATATAACTAAGCCTTATACTGCAAGGTTTTACACATGTGAATGGGAAATGTGCTTTGTTACCATTTCCAATATCAAATAGAATACCTAAAATTTCTGAGGTTTCAAGTGTTTCTGAAGTATTAAATGTTTGAAATTCGATAGTACATCTTTCAATACTGTACTTTATTGTAAGAAATTTACAATATTTCAATATTTTAGGTATAGAGATGCTTCTCACTTCCTTTAGGAAAATGTTCATTATAGATAAGCTAAGTATTGCTATCGTTATCACTTTCGTGCCTTCAATGTCAGCCATTTCTTAGGAGTAATTTCTCAATAGATTATTCCCTTTAAAATATCAGGTATTTTTCACTAACAAAGAACCCCATCGAATTCATATGTGAAGTTACAAAAATGCAGGATAAAGAAAGAGGAAAACATACAATTGGAAACAGAATGCTGTTACGACGACGTCCATTAATACGAAGACCATTAATACCACTTTTATTTTCTTTTATTAAGCTGTATTTTACGTTTCTTTTCCTGTATATGTTTTAATGTTGCGTTGACAAAATGATGGCTGTTTAATAGTTGATTACCAAATAATGTCCAGCTTCTCGGGTATAAAACATATTTATATAAAACACTCGATTAATATTTATGATATAATGTATAAACTTATACGATAAGTCTAAATGAAAGTGTTTGACAAATGTTTACGGCATACAGTGTCTTTTTCAGATGCAAAAGATGATCCAGTATACTTACAAGCTCTCCGGAAATTTTAGATGGAATGTTTGAAATGTAGTTTGTTCGTGGCAGCATTCACAGAAAATTCAAATGGCGGAAAACCCATAATCGCAGGAATTAACGTGCTCACGTTATTTTTCACAGCTGAAGATTTTGATCTTAGCAAATTTAAGGTAATCTTTATGTATTTCTTCTATGAGCAATGATCGTAAGTGACGTTAATCCTTTCGTTCTCAAATTATTTTTCCATTATTTTTATATCAAATTATTTCCCAATAATTATTTCCCAGGGTGGCAATCGCTCAAGAATACAACATTTCGGTAACTCACCTCACCGATATCGTAGAAACTTGCAGAACGATGCGGTTTCGAAACCGTATTTGAGAAAAATTACAACGACATCGTAGATAAAAAGGGAAATCCGATTTTTCCAGGCATCGAAGCAGAAGCTGTAAAAATAATGGCAAAGAGGATATAATAATGCTATTACTGCGCTACAGATAGTAATATTTATACAATATTTCGGTAATAAAATCTCAAGTTTCTAGTAAAAACTAAGGATATTTATAAATATCGTGGCGGATACTTACTATCGCAAAAGGTGTAGATTGAACCACAGCGAGAATGGTAAAACACGCGAATAAGGTGACGCTGTGCACTTCCGGACATTGCAGGGGAACCAAACCGAGTAAATTATCTGACAATGAAACAAACAGTCTCAATTTACGTCAGCGAAAAATTTTGTTTTCGCGTTCTGCCGATTGGTACTTGTCGAGTGATGCAGCGCGAAGACGTACGCAATTCCCTACTTTCTTGTTACAATTGTATTCGTAAGAAACTCGTAAGAGATGAAAAATAAAAATGGGGTAAATTCGCGGAATACGTATCAGCTTCGTAGAAAGGATAAAATGAGACGGTAACATTGTCAAACGAGGAGCGCGTCAAATTTTCAAGCTGTGATATATCAAGTTAGTGAAAAACGCGTAATGGTGGCGCCCTCCTTTGACGAGCGATGTTGGTAAAAAGTCCTTTGTAACTCGTTCGAGGTGCATACGTCGTCTTTGGCACACGCGACGCGTACCGAATTTCAATAGTTTCGCGATGCGCGCAGGTAACTAACTGTTTTATGATCGTTGTACGTCAAAATACGGGTGAACGCACTTCCGCTCGTTCTGATAAGCAGCGACATTCGAATGCATCCGAGATACGCGTTACGAAATTCGAGTGACTTATATTTCGGTTGTACGGCGAAATGCGAGCCACAAGGATGTAATTCGAAGCCTACTCATTCACGGGATTATCGCTTGATACTCGGTGAACATCCATCACGATAGTTACATCGAGCGCATAGTCATTTTCCAAACTCGCCTTCCACTCGCTTTCTACACATTTATCGATGCACTTTTCCCGCCCACGTCTTTTCCTCTTGTCGACTATGTCGGTTCCTTTACCGCGTACAGCGCTCGGTGCGACGCAAAGGCAGTCGATAATCTTGACGAATGGATGTTTTTAGCGTGGGAGTAAAGGATACGAGTTCTCGGGTGTTGCGAACGTCAGGTTTCATTGAGCCAAGGATGATTGCTGCCCCTCAAGTGCGAATGTTTTGTATTGTACGTGTGAACGATAAATTCACGTCGGAATCGAAAGTGACAGAGGTAGATCGTTGAACAATGTTAACCATGTATCTATAACTCCGAGTACCGCTAACGATTGATCAAGCGCCGGGACATCTGTTGAGACGATTAGGAAATATTTCACGAGGGCGTGAATGTCTAGCGAATTATCGCGTCACACTAAAGATCGCCTTAAGTAGACTTACCCCTCTACGTGTAATATATAATCCTATGCATTGCGATTGCAACCAGGTACATGAGAATCTTAACTGATTTTATCGATTTCTATATTTATATTTCTTTTTTCCTGAATCTTTTCCTTTATATCGTTTCGATACAAAATTTCGAACCACTTTTCGGGGTTACCGCGACAGTAGTCGGGTGGTCTACGTTTCGGCAGGATCCTCGTTGCGCATGCGTATGCTGCTCGCGAACTCCTACACGCGTACAGCATCGTCTACGAAGATGTAAGTACGAGCGTAGAGTCACCGCGAATTTGTTCGCCGCTTCAGTCGCGTTCGGCGCGTCGTACGAGTAAGTGTGTTCTCGTTCGTTCTCACCCCGTTTCCGTCTTTCCCACGGTTCTTTTCTCTCAACCCTGTTTCTCTTCACTCTATTTCCCTCGTCGAAACCTCATCCTTTCTCCCGCGATTTTTACACAATCGCCGATCGAACGAAACGGCCATCCGCGACACAACGTAATTAAAAGGATAACCAAAAATGTATCGAATTTAAAAAACCGGCCCAAGGATTCTCCTCCAAGGTGAAAAACCCTCTGCAACGTTCCGTTGTTTTTTCTTTTGTTTTTCCTTTCTTATCGACATTTAATTTTCGTCAGTATTCGGTGTAACTAGTATTACTGAAAATTTCCCACCCTTGTTTCGTCTTTTTCTTTTTGTGATAATTCGTTTAAATGAATTTTCATTTAATCAAAATCTACTTTAATTGAAAATCGAATTCACGTAATTAGATGCGAATTATATTTCTTCTACCAATCTTCCATGGACTCTTGGCACATTTTGCTTCATGTTTCTTCGTCGAATGGCAGAAAGTTTCTTGCATTTTCTAGAAGTAAAGTCATATTTAATCAGAATTTCCAGTATTGGTTCAAAGTGGTTGACTTTCATTCAGAAATACAGAGTTAGAGTTTCCTTTCTTGTTTGAAATATTCTATGGCTGGCAAGTAAATTCTACAGAAGTTTTGGCGCGAAGACATATTCGATGGGATCGTTCGTTCGAATGTTTCGTATGGTGACGAGCATACATGTTGGAGATATAATATACAGTCGAAAAATAACGTCGAGAATATTTCTTCCGTGACAAACTTTGGTTGACGAGCTCAAACGTAACAGAACGTAACCTGTTGCGGGATGGATTACCAACGCGTCGTGGTTGCTTGCAAGTATGGCAGTGTATATTTCGGTTTATCGAGCGTGTATCTCGAGCTGTATTTTTAGTTAATTCGTCTTTCTGAGAGAAGAAAAATAAATCACCCGGAAAATAGGAAAATAATTAAAAGCATGTTCGTTAATCTGACTGGACGTAATCTATTTACCAATTGGATTATTTCAAACGAGAATTCATTCGTAGATTTATATTTAAACACCTTCCGTCTGAAAGGAAAAGAACACGAGAAATGGCTACGTTGACGAATGGAATTTTTATTAAGTTTGCAATGGAGGATCGATTAATGGCTCTAGCGTTCAGCAATTCGAAATAAAGGGAGACAATTCTAACAAGTTGGAAATAAATTTGTTTTATATTTAATTTCATTTGCGCGTACATCGGAAAGTTGCTGAAAAGGTGCATGAAGGATTGGTTAGATACGAGAATGAATTCGTTGGAAAGAAATTAAACGCGATCGATCGAACACCGATTCCCTATAGAAGAGATACAGGTGGGTCGAATATTGTCATTGCTAAGCGTATGAAAGTTGCGAAAAGGTAACAAAGTAAATAACCAAAGCCATGGTAAAAAAAAAACAGGAAAATCCCATTCGTATGTATTTCATTTCCATCACAACCGTTGATCTTTAAACATTCGTTTTAATTTGTTTTCTAGTTTGCTACGACCCCGGGAACGATACTCGGTGGTATAAGAAAGGATACATGGAATTTTGGATAAAACTGACACACTGTTTTTCGTCCTTTTTACTTTCTGCAGCGTCACCGGTGATAAAATATTCGCGTCGATCATAGCGAATGGCGCAGTGATATATTTTCGATTGCTTTTGCAACTACCTCCACTGTTTGCTTTCATGAGATTGACTATATACCAATCACACCAATCTCCGCGATCGCTAGATTATTTTTATTAAAAAATTGATCGGAGATCGGAGATCAAAGACCAGCTGGAGCCTGGTCAACAAACTTTGACATTTCTTCTTTAAACTAATCTCGATTTACTCTTGGCGAGTCGCGTCTCAAAGAGTTTCTTATGTCCATAACGAAGATATGATGGTCAAGGAAGACAAAGGAATGTGAATAACGCTTCTTCTCTAAATATTCGCGTCCATGCACGCGAATATGATTGCAGCCTCGAAGAAAAAAGCTTCTCGATTTGCTGAATTCTTATTTGCGAGGAGTGATCACTGTCAAAGGTAACGCTATCGTTGTTGCACGTTTAATCAAAACTTTCCAGTTTATTACTTGCATTGATGTCTTTGTTGCTCGATGCGTCGTTAGGAAGAAGATGCATTCAGACGCATTGCAAGAGGCGGATGAAAAGTTCTTTATAACTATCTGAACCGTTGCAAATGTTTCACGTCTCTCGTTACGATGCACTATTCCGTGAGGAGAATTAGCGTCAATTATTCGAATCGCTTATTGGATTTGATCACATATCGGGACCAACTCGATCGAAGTTCCTGATATTTCTTAATCGAATTCTGCGATACATTTTGGATTAATCGCATCGTACAATTGGGTCCGTGACATGTCTGTTCGCAACGTCGAACGTGCCATGCAGCGACGGTCACTCTCGGTGCATTTAATTCTCTCGTGGATAAGTTCCCATGGATTTTGATAAAAGTAGGCGTGGAAATGCCAAGAGGCGGAAATCTTCTCCAGCTCGAAGACGATTGAACGGTCGCTCGGATCTTGCCATCGATCAGGCGTTAGAAATTCTCTAGGTCCATCTGTTCGATTGACTCCACAGTCACCCGCGACCCTTTTTCCATCATCTTCTTCTCGAATCTCTCGCAAAGGTCAGCCGAGGCATAACGAAATGCTCCCACGTAACAGGAAAACGTTACTTCTGCCGGAACAGGTTCTCCTTCCACGTAGCTCGGTTTTTAAGAATCGCATTTGCAACCGGTCACGTTGCGACTCTCCGCCATGATTTACGATCTCGATGCCGTAACACATTACGTATTTCGTCCACGATCCAAACGTTTTAGGATTTCCTATCTCCCTTTCGGACAGCGAACACATCGATTATCAAAACCTCCAAGCGCGAGCCCCTCGATCGATGCGGTAGATCGTTGAGAAATTTCAAAATCGATCGTTTCCACGCGATACATTCTCTCGTTTCGTTTCTTCCGTGAAACGCAACCATGCACTTTCGTAACGATCTTAATAGAATTTCCGCGACGTTAAATGGAATCGTGTTACATTACCTGCATTCGCAATTCCATTACGAACGAATCGGCGACGATCTTCTTTGATACCTTCATCCTCGACTTATACAACGGTGTAGACATGGTTTACAAAGAGTGCATTGTTGTTCGTTGAATGCGCGTCCTCGACGTGCAACGTATCCGATCTGCCATACGCGTTTCGCTGAACCGAATCGGCACGTACCTTCACGAAACGAGTGATGAAACGAACTCGGATGCCGGATGCCGATTCAGAATCACGAAAGTTTGACAAACAATTTTCACGCGGAATTCGCCGCAGGCACGTTCCTCAAGGTGTATTTCGCGATCGCGGAAACGAACATCTGTAATCGAAGGCGCGACACCACTCGAGTCTGCCTCCTCCTCCTTAATCGAGTTCACAGATAGCACAGTGTCGTTCCCATCGGACAACGAGGCGTCGAATAAACAAATAAAGTTCGAAATATCACTGCAGTATCTGCCCGTAAACACCCTCCGACTTTGTTCCCCCGTAGAATCCTTTAAGTTCTTTCGTTGTCCGTGCAGATACCGTACGGGAGGCAAGGGTGTCGCGAAGAATGTGTCAGGATCAAGGCGTCGTACTGTAATCGGGAATCCAGTGGAGAGGAGTTATCGCTTGGCCGTAGATCAAAGTGGAAATCGGTCGCGTCGAAGGAGGAACGAGATGAAGTCGTCGGACGCTTAGCCAGAGGGTCGAGAGGGGACGATGAATTTCTCGTGGCGGATTCATCGAGTAAAAACTTGAAACGCGAATAATCACGGTGAAGACGAACAGGAAGTTCCGCAGAAGCGTTCGCGAACGACATGTCCGTGGAAGAAATCGAGGAGGTGATCGATCGGAATCAAACGTTCGAGATAGACAGAGTGGTCCTGAGGAATCTCACGCAGAGTTATTCGGACGGCCTGCTGTTGAAGTTCTTCAACTTCACGCAGCACTATGTCAACGCGACGCAGGAAATCGACTCTTTCTACTTCTACCAGGTAAGTTAAAGTAAACAGACTGCTATAAATACGCTTTCGAAGAGAGGCGACTAATCGACTAACCGGCCTGTCTGGTCGTAAGCGGAATTGCCGTCCGAGACACGACGAGCATCGTTTTAAACCAATACTCGGTTCTCGTGCATATCGCATGAACGAGGATCGTTACATACGCAGATATAATTGGTCGAAGCTGCGAATGATCCAGTGGCGACCAAACAAAACTCTAAGCTGTGTTTAAGGCATCGCGTTAAGAGCTTCAGCCGTGTACTGGTTAACTGAACCGAATAGGCTCGCGTGGTCAATGCGATTTAACTTTGATTCCGCTTATCTGCTCGGGCCACCGGCTAAGTGGGCAACATCCCTGCAGCAAACTATCGCGTAATGGGTTTTCTGTGAAACTTGCTCCAAACGCAGAGCTTTGCCACGATCTAAATGGAAAACGTACGGTATCGTCGTGTCCCAACGTGCCCCGGGATAAATTCTGGTGAACCAAAAAGCTAAACGAGCGTGTTGCGAATCAGCTTATAACCGATCGTTCGTGAACTCGTTCGTAGAATAGAAGAGATAATTAGTTGGACATTTTTAATATCGCGAGCTAACGCGAATGACTAAATAAAGCAGGAAATAAAAATTTGCAAGGATTTTACCGTTGAACACTGGAATTACCAAACGAGCTAAAATAACTTGTATCAGACAAATGACTTGTTTCTGGAATTATTGAAAGCGTACGGGTGCTTTCAATGGTAATTCAAATTAACGTTGACTTTTATTGAGCCAGAAACGTAATTATAAGGCTGTTCCGATTTTTAGATGACAAACCTTGTTACCATGTTCCATAAATTTCAATAAAAATATATGTATACGAATATATAAATAAATACATGTATTACGCATTTATTAAAAAGTTATAACAAAAATATGAAATACGGAGAGAATAGTTAATTTAGAGATATTCGTATTTAGTTTCATACGAGCTGCGCTTACTATATCCGGTTATTGAATTGATACAAATATTTGCTTAATGTCAATTACTATTACCGATTCCAAATATTAATTCCTGCATCGCATAATAGTAATTCCAAATCCATTGTTATTCTCTTCGTATTTCATATTTTTCTCATCATTTTTTAATATAGCGTGAACCGATTTATGTTTATGTAACATCTTTTTCTTATGTAACCTTATAAAATATACTTGACAAAGTTTGGTAGCTAAAATGTGGAATAGACTATATATTCCAGTTCATCTTCCTTCCACCTTCGTTAATTTCATTCACGTGTACTATAGTTAGGCACATATTACAAGTTGGCAATTCTAGCGCTAATAGCCTTTAAATAACCTTCCAACGACCTTCATTCTCATTTCCATCGGAGAAGAACAATTTCGTGAAAAACGGAACAAGGAAACGATAAACTACTCAACGTGTTAGCTCCCGGCTACAAGTTAATTTGTAGTCATCTGCCTAGCCCTGGAAGCCAAGTTATCGAGTCACCTATTATCGAGTTATACTGCGAGTTATCTGGTACTTAACTGCCATTTCTCATTTTCTACGAGATAATGCTTCCTGCAGCATATTCAATTTAGAAGAACGTATGTGGTGGCTGCAGAAGGTTCATATCGTAATACAGAGGTTTTGTCTAAAAATACAAGAGTGGTTAGTATCAAAACCGTAAAAATCCCTAGAATTACACGTCTTTTGATCATTTTCAACGAATCTATTGCATGAACCAACGTTAAAGGGGTACGACGCTGAATAGGGTACGAAAAGTAGCCGCAATAAAAATGAGAAAATACCAGTCACTGTTTTGCTTCCCACGTTACTTCGATCTGCTCGTATAAATCTCTCGTCTATGATGCTTCTGTGGCTCGTGGAGTTTTAAAATAGAGGAGTCGCTAATGTTATCCGATCGTAAATCGAGTTACGTTCGCCGGCAAAGCAGAGGAACTCACGGAATCCCATGCGTTTACCGTGAAATGTGAACTTCTTTCATCTGGAACCGAAATTATTTCGTTCGGGTTAGTGACGTTCGTCGTGTCGTCGTCATGAATGAATGTTGATCGTCTGGCTCGTGGCAGGATCGAAATTAGAACGATGATCGAAACGTCGTGATCTAGCAAAAGAAGAGGTTGCTGATATTTTGAATAGCCTAATCCTGGATAAATCATTCGGGGAACAAGTATCTTACGTTAAAATAAGATCATTGGTGACAAGGAAAGTCTCAGCTTTGGATTATTTCTTGTATCTATCGCGCATATATTAGCAAATTATTTACTCGAAATTTATCTCTTACACGTAACCGGTTTTAGAAAGATTAATATTAACTTTTATCGGGACAGAAATCCATTTATTTTCATTGCACCACCTTAATTAATGCAATTTTTAGGTTGTTGCCGACGTTAATGTATTTTCTCGCAAGAGTAGGCAATATAACCGTCGACGCTAATGCATTGAACAGCTAAAATCTGCCGATGTATATTGTATTAAGTACTTAGTTAAGTACGTACACGCAGCATCTACTTGTTTTGATGCGATAAGTTCTCCAACGTCGAGACCTCTTTCAATCATGTACTAGGTCTACCGACCAAGGTTTAACCGCAATTTAAAGACGGCCACTTTGCCCTGTACCATAAAAATGTAAATGATATCTGGGTAATGAATAATATATTCACGTTCACGTTTGTTATTCATGTTCTTCTTTCCCTCTTTGTTGAGGAACACGCGGACGCAATGTTCGGTACTTTTTCAAACGATGAAGTAACGCAATACGTTTCGATACGAAATAGGGATTATTGATTTCAGCTTTTGCGTGTCAATTAGTGGAACGGATGCAGTTACACGGGAATGAGTAAATTTCGAGTCGAAGGTAAATATCATGAAAGTGGCTAGTAAATGCCACGATTGCTTTGACCGAAAACTATACACACCGTAACGTGAGAAAAATTATTTAACGTAAAATTCACTTAGAGTTATGTTTAAAATTGTGAAACGCGAAAGTATTACTTTTCGTAATATCGTAAAACATAAACTTTGTCTATGGATATGCAAAACTTATCGATATCTAAGCGTTCTTGTAAAAATGTTTTTAAAAACTCATAGTTCAACTGCGTTCTGAGTCTTCGTCTATGAAACGTTCGAAATATCGGAACTGGGGGAAAAATATTTGCATTGTCAACCACCCTCCTGCCATTAGGACGACAAGAATTAATTACGAGTCCCAGTGTGGTCTGATAAAGCTCGTCGTTATCTGCTGTCCCGACTGACTCGATATGTTTTACGTATCGAGTTGTACGTTTGAAAAGACTCGAAGTCGAATGTAACTCTTATATACTCGCAAAACATTTTATCAAAACGTTCTCATATAGCGAGGATTTCCTCGATTTATTATTCTGCCATTGCGTTCGAGAGTAGCTACGACAAAGGGAAGTTTAGAAGATAACCTTTGCAAGACGTATTTATGGTGCTCTTCAGAGAAACATAATGGAAAACCGTGATAACGTCGGATACGTGTTCTTCTTTCGTCCCGTGGTGTTTCTTTCGTTTCACCGCGATTTCTGACCACATAAATTTTCTCCCCCGAAGATCTTTCCACGCTCAGGATAAAGAGGTGATATATCAACGTGGCAGGGGCTGCAAAACTGCAACTGTACAAATATAATCGCACGATATATTCGTTATGTTAAATCCTCCTACATATTTCCAACTACGATTCCGGCTAGAAATATTTTTGCGGTATTTTTAGTACCCGGCGAGTCATTTTTGAAGCAAGATCCGTGGTGAATTCGAAATTTCCAAGAAAACTTTCCTGTCCAGTGGTAATTGTGATTCAGCTATTCAGAGGCTATATTTCTTTAGGCTCTATTCCCGACGAAATTTCGGAAGAGAATAGACGCATATTAAATTTCGCTGAACAACGCGCGGCACGTATGGAACGAAAGAGGGTTGTCTGCTGGCTAGCCAAAACACGACGAAACGACCACGATCGAATTAAAACGGGCGCCTGTCTGGTGTCATATGGTAATTCGTCAGCAACAGACCTGCGCCTCCAACTCCTTGTCACCTGTTCCTTTTCTAACCGTTTTCCTGACACGTGTCTCGTGCCCGCCCGAAAAATCACACGCGCGCCATTTACCATTGAACGGAACGCCACTCAAACGATCCAATGTTCCTTGCAAAAGGGCGAATGATGAAACAACCCATTCCTATGGGTCTCGTAGATCGCTACGAGGCGTTAAGGAAGACGTATAATGTAACACGCGTGTTCCACGAGTCGAAATAAGTGGATGTAGATCCTACGACAATACGTTATTAGTTCCTTCCATTGAAAGAAAAATTGCAGAGAATATCGAGAAACTTACCAAATATTAAAAACGTTTTTATTACGATACAAATTATTGCCGGATATCTCGCGGAATAGTTGGCTTGTTTACTCGCTCAAATGAGTTCCATCGGAATCTCGGTGTTTATCAAGCTTCGTACACGATTGTAGATGAAACGTTGCGTTCGCTGAAATGGAAATATAAAGTCTCGTCTAAGTTCTAATATTTACACAAGCCTCGGGGTAAAAAGAGAATTGCGATTTCACCAATTATTTTTTTCCACAGGCAAAAACAACAGCTGTCTCCAATAAATTTTGAGGTTAGACGCAGAATGCTATCGAACAGTTGGGTCACGTGACAGGCGCGTATGCATCTGGATCCCGCGAGGCGCGTCGATCGATTTAAAGGCGACGGTATTCGGTGTCTGCAGTGATTTCCTTGCTGTTTGCAATCTCGTCCCGTCACCTACCCGTTTCTTGCCCCCATCCCGCGAACAGCTAGGGCTAACCGATTCGAGTCGCGCGACCGCTTTGTAAAAGCATCGCGACGAGTTCCCTCGTCTCGCACCACCGACCGGTCGCTGATTGCAGAAACCCCGCCACATGGGAACTCGCTTATTTTTACTAGGAACGCGCGTTCGCGGTAAAAGAGAGGACGAAAGAATCGAGGGAGGAGGGTGAAGG